AAACTACGGCCCGCAGGCCACACCCTGCCCATTGGTCCTTTTTAATCCCACCCGCCGAAGATAACTACAGAAATGCCTAATTCAAACCATATCATAATTATGGAAAATAGCCAAAGCAACTACGTGAACGATGTTTTTCTGTCTGATTTTGCTTTTAATTATGTTTGAAAATGGGAATAATAAAGATGATACATGAGAAACATAAGGATGTATATGTAAACATGTGGAGATGGCCCGGTCCGTCTGTCAAATCTTAAAAGTCAGCGTGGCCCCTGTGCCAAAAAGTTTACCCCTCCCTAATCTACACCCTTTCGGCCTAACCATCGAGAGAACATTCCAGTATTTTTCCTCAATTATCGACATATGATTTTCTATCTCATTTTAGCTTATAACAACATGATTCTCATAATTGCACAAAAAGAAAGGGTTTTCTAGAAAGTTCACAAAGAGAAATAACAAAGATTTGATATAGCAGTTACTACTTAGTTACATATCAATTTTTTAAGTACAAGATATCATTCAAGGAAAAGACCTTTAAATTCAGAAATGTGTTAACGAAAACATCTTTATCTTGAAATTATGAATAAGATTGGCAAAGGAAAAATAGAGTAAGGATAATAACTGTAATTGTGTGTGTGTGTGTGTGTGTGTGTGTGTGTGTGTGTGTGTGTGTGTGTGTGTGTGTGTGTGTGTGTGTGTGTGTGTGTGTGCATATACATATGCACATATGTATGTACATATATGAGTAGAGAAATAGAATGATTGATAGATAGATCGGTAGATATGTTTGTATGCTTGTATACCTATGCATATACATACACACACAAACACGCACATTCATATAGATAAGTATGAGTAACAGAAATGAATTAAAAGAAAAGAAAAGAAACACCGAGTGAAGATACAAAACCTAGGTAAGGGCGAGACAAAAACAAGTGGGATGTGCTCGTTACGGCGGTTGGACTACAGCGTTAACAATTGAAAGGCTGTGCTGGTGTTTATCTCTGGTTTCATCTTTTGGAGGTAAAGGGATTCGGAGGGTCGAGTCTCTTCGATGTTGTGGACAGAATTTTGAAATCTTTGAGAATGAATGGGTCGTCTGCAAGTGAATGTTGCCGGGCAGCAGAGAAAGAGGGTCTGGTCAGAGGTAGGCCTGTTCCTAAAGATTAGCTCATATATTCAATTATTGTGTGTGTGAACTTTCGTGTAGACGATCCAATATACCTAGCGTTACATCTAGGGCAATTAAAAATATATACAATATTTGAACATAGTTCTGAAGGTAGTGGCATATTCTTCTTAAAAAAAAAAGAAAGAGTTGATATTGTAATGGTTAACAAGAACAATGTTGAAATCAATATATGGGAACAAATGTCTTAGTATCTCACGTAACGTTTACGAATGGTGAAGCTTACATCTTCCTCTGTCAGAAACTACACAGATTATCACGTATACCTTATCGGATGAATCTATTACAATTTGGTCTAAACAAAAAACAGTTGAATTCCTTTTTAAATGTTGCTACAAAACTGTTTTTACTTTTGACAACCAATTGCATACCCAGATTGACGGTGTAACCAATACTTTCCTATGCCTTCATGAACGTAATAATAGCCCAGTTAATTTCAAACCAGTTTTCTACGAAAGGTATATAGATGGCAACATTCACATACAGACCAACGCCCATTCAGTGACAAAGATTTCAAAATTCTGTCCACAACATCGAACAGACTCGACCTTCTCATCTCCGAATCTCTTTACATCCAAAAGATGAATACAGAGTTAAACACCAACACAGCTTTTCATTTGTTAACGCTGTAGTCCTGTAGTGGTTCACCAACACCCATTGTTTCATCTTATTTATTTTCATTGGTATGAATCATAAAAACTGACAGGCAAAACCAATATGGCTGGTAGAGGTTTTGAAATGAAAATAAAATATCTTTTACATTTACTAAATAACACTGAACGTAAAATAACACAAATAATACAGCCTAAAAGAAATAGAAGCTGAACATAAAACAAATGAATAAATCAAAGTTGAAATAAAATAAAACTGAACATAAAAGCTGCACGGCCTACTACAATTATTAAAGTAACTAGTAAAATTAAGCACTTTCTTTAAATAATATCCGCCCTTTTGCCTTATAGCCCAAAATAGCATTCTACGTAACTTCATATCAACGGAGCGAAGAAAAGTGCGGGACTTCCAGTTCAATCCAGAGGCTGCGGCTTTGACAGAGTATCTGACGTTTTGATGGTTAGGTCGCCGATGTAAACAAAAGTAATTGCTTGGCGAATGGTTCTTTTGGATGTTGAGAAAATAAATAATTTAAAGCTTAGTAATGCTCTGTTTACTGGATCATTTAAGGATAAAACATAAATCAAACAATTAAAATCATTAAGTAGAACACACGAAGATAAAAGGACTAGAAACATACTTGAATAATAAAATCCAGCAAAACCAATGAAAACAAAACATTCCTTTAAAAATAATAAT